GTGAATAGGTATACACGAATTATGTATGATTTTTCTAATAAAAAAAGTCCATTATAAAATATCTCGGTATATTGTACGAATCATTGTAAGAAGAATTCAACAATGTTGTATGTTAGATATTTTCTATAAAAATAATATAATCATTTGTGTCTTTTTTATTTTTATTTTTTTGTGATTGGCAAAAAGAAAAAAAATTCATTAACCAATGAGTATCTGAAGTATTCATTTCAATACAAAAGACAAGAATTAGTAGATATTTTTAATTAAATATATTTATTAAAAAATTATTATTTTTAAATTTAAATTTTAAAAAATTTACTTATAAAATTTAATTAATAACTAAATTAATAAATATTGATAAATATGTTAAACAAAGCCAGTCATTTTCACAATACAAACATCAATACGAAAAGTTCAGAATTGAAAAGAACCCAAACAAAACTCATAAACCATTATATAACACTATGCATAAACAAAACACCAACACCTTCTCCTCGTTGGCTACCCAGTATCAAATCAAACAAGCCAGGGCTATAGGAAACACAAACTAAACCCATACCAGTTTAACTTTGGAACACCATGCATGCCTCCCTGGGTGTTCTAACCCAGGTGTAACTCTGGCCAAACATTTGCTTTAGTAAAGAAAAATATCTAAATTTGATTAGGTCAACTACCTCATCAAAGGAAATCAACTACTTTGGAAGATCATTTGGTTCCGCCACAGGCATATCGACCAAACAATTGCCGACCAAACCACTGACCAAACTTTATTTGACAGCCCTTTTGAGACCAGTCCGATTTATTGATACAAATGCTTCCGCCCTTCATCCTGTCACGCCACATAAATAAGACCCCACCACCTTCAAGACGAAAGTTTTACCTTCAAAGGTACCTTCTTGTTCCAGATGGAATCTTTTACTCAATAAAAACAATTAATGGAATATAATCCAACAAGTAGTCAATTACAATCAGATTTTTTTTTTTTTTTTAAGTTCAAGCAGTGAAAGTTTTAAATAACCTTAAGTGACTCATTAATTAAGATTATTTTGGTAAGTTCATAATCTAAACTACATTTTTTTTTAATTGAAACTAAAAAAACCATTCTCATTTCAGTTTACATACATATAAAATTGGCTCCTAAAAAGCAACTAGCCAATAGTATTTTTATTTTTATTTTTATTTTTGGGCCAACAAACTAGTATCCATTTTTAGATTTTAAAATATATAATAAAAATTTATTGTATCACTTAAACTATAAAGTAAAAATTATTAAATAAAAAATAAATTTAAAAAAAAACCTTGATATTAAGAGTTGAGTTCTTATCAAACAATTCTTATTATTTTTGAATCAAGACAATTCTTTTCTTTAAACAAGTATAATTTAGAGACAAAAGATAAAAAAAAAAATAATATAACAACACTATAATTTAAATTTTTATCATTATTAAGACGTTGAATCCACCTAATAACTTAATCATGAAGCCTGGAATTAGATCATCGGCTACAAATGATTTGTCCCAACTCATAAAATATTTAGATTAATTGGTTGGATTTTCAAACTTTGCCAACGAACTTCAAAATTCCCCTTCCCTAATTCAAAAATTATAAACTGC